ATATATATATATATATATATATATATATATATATATATATATATATATATATATATATATATATATACATACATATATATACTCTTGCATGTCTCTTGCATGGCATCAAAAAAAGTTTCCCATAAACTGAAGTTTTAAAGACCGCGTATAAATAAATTTTAAAATAAATTTTTTTTTTTAATTGATAGACTGCCTGGCCAAAGCAAACCCTCAGTCGATGTAGCAGCACTCACTTGCGAGTCAGGCTATTTGTCAGTCGTTGTAGCAGCACTCCCTTGCGAGTCAGGCTATTTGTCAGTCGATGTAGCAGCATTCCTTTGCAAGTCACGCTATTTGTCAGTCGATGTAGCAGCACTCCGTTGTGAGTCAGGCTATTTGTCAGTCGATGTAGCAGCACTCCGTTGCGAGTCAGGCTATTTGTCAGTCGATGTAGCAGCACTCAGTTGCGAGTCAGGCTATAAGATAGTCGATGTAGCAACATTTACGCATGTTTTAAAATTGTTTTTTATTAAATCAATAACAAAAACACCACTAATTAAAAAAAACTTTCTAGTTGTTATAATTGCGGTTTTTTAATAATTTTTAAAAAAACAATTAAATTTAATGTACTTCCGCATAAATTAATTGCTTTGACAATTCGATGACAATCAAAAACAGCTTAAGAGACGAGGTAATTAAAATTGTAGTCGTAAGAGACATTTTTTACATTAAAACGCTCTTTCGACTACACTATATGGGTATATATATATATATATATATATATATATATATATATATATATATATATATATATATATATATATATATATATATATATATATATATATATAACCATATAGTGTAGCCTTAAGAGCATTTTAATGTAAAAAAAGTCTCTTACAACTACAATTTTAATTACCTCGTCTCTTAAGCTGTTTTTGATTTTTATCGAAATGTCAAAGCAATTAATTTATGCGAAAGTACATTAAATTTAATTGTTTTTTTAAAAATTTTTTAAAAAACCGCAATTATAACGACTAGAAAGTTTTTTTTAATTAGTGGTGTTTTTGTTATTGATTTAATAAAAAAACATTTTTAAAACATACAAAAATATTGCTACATCAACTATCTTATAGCCTGACTCGCAACGGAGTGCTGCTACATCGATTGACAAATAGCCTGACTCGCAACGGAGTGCTGCTACATCGACTGACAAATAGCCTGACTTGCAACGGAGTGCTGCTACATCGACTGACAAATAGCCTGACTCGCAAGGGAATGCTGCTACATTGACTGACAAATAGCCTGACTCGCAAGGGAGTGCTGCTACAACGACTGACAAATAGCCTGACTCGCAAGAGAGTGCTGCTACATCGACTGAGGGTTTGGTTTGGCCAGGCAGTCTATCAATTAAAAAAAAAAAATTAATTTTCAAAACTTTTTCTGGTCTGGTTTATTAACGCTTTCTTTAAAACTACAGTTTATGGGAAACATTTTTTGATGCCACGCAAGAGACATGCAAGAGTATATATATATGTATTTATATATATATATATATATATATATATATATATATATATATTCATATATATATATATATATATATATATATATATATATATATATATATATATATATATATATATATTTATATATATATATATATATATATATATATATATTTTTTTTTTTTTTTTTTTTTATTTAAATTTAATGTTTAAAAAAAGAAACAAAAACACAAAAATACAAATTAATAAACCATAATGTTTTTAAAAGCATTTTGAATGTTTTTTTTCAATTTTTTTGAAATAAAATTATTCTAAATATTTTTATTTTAATTTTTTTACTGGAAAGTATGTGCAGAGTGTTGCTAGATCAATTGTCCTAATGTCTGACTTGCAGCGGAGTGTTGCTACATTGATATTTATAATTTATTATATATTCAATATTTATATTAAATGAACTAATAAATTTTAAAAAATAAAATTAATACTAAAAGATATAATCATTGGTTGCTTTTTATTGTTAATTAATACATTTTTTTTCTAGGATTTAGATTTGTTAATCTTTTAATGCCAGAATTTATTAAAACAGTGTTTTCTGATGGAAAATCATTCCAAAGATCGACCGCTACAAAAGTTATATTTCCTCTAGTTGGAAATGGTATTTTTGTGTCAAATTATGAAGATCATCATTGGCAAAGAAAAGTGTTAAATGAAGCTTTTACTTTACAACAGCTAAAAAATTATTTTCCAGCTTTTACAGTGCACATTGATTTGCTAATGAAAGTAAGTGCATTTTATATATACATATATATATATATATATATATATATATATATATATATATATATATATATATATATATATATATATATATATATATATATATATATATATATATATATATATATATATATATATATATATTTTATATAAAGTAAATTATATTAAATAAACCTAATTATTTTTGTTGTTTTTCTTAAAAAATTAAAATTTAACTTAATAGACTAAAATATTTTTTATTTAATATAAAATGGAATAAATAAAAGCATTAATGCTTTTGTTTTTAATTTTTTTACTGATTGCATATATCAAGAGACCAATAGATGAAAATTCAAGGAGTGCTGCTTCATTATGTAGGGGTTTTAATTTAGGCAGCAATCTATTAATTGAAATTGTTTTTTATACTTATAATAATTTTCTATTTCATATTCTGCAAGCTGTTATATTATCTCAAATCAAATCAGTATGAATTGTTATAATCAAAATTTCATCTGAAAACTTTTGATGTTTTAAAGAACCATGTAAAGTTTAAAGGGTCATGTAGTTTTTTTTATCATCTCTCAATTGAGTCAAAAGTTGTTTTAAGGAATTTAAAATCTAAAAGTTTTTCTGTTTATATTGTATATAATAAAGAAAGTGTGTTAATTATTTATATTCCAATTATTTTAGCTTTGGTCATATTCATGTGACAAGGATAATGGTACTAACATAATTGTTTTGGATGACTTATCTAATTTATCATTTGATATAATTGGGGATGTTGGTTTTGGCTATCAATTTAACACAATTACTTCTCATTCTGGTAATGAGTTTACAAAAGCGCTTCAGAGTTATTGTCAACTACGATTTCAATTGAATGCCGTCCATAAAGCTCTACTAGCTTTCTTTCCATTTTTAATGCATCTGTCATTTATGTATGGAAAACGTAAACGAGCTGAGCAAGTCATCTGTAATACTTTAAACATGGTTAGTACTGATACCTTGTGTTATAGTTTCAGGAATTCTACTTTTATATTTTTCAGTGTTTTATTTTTTGTTTAAAATCATTAAAAAATTTTTTTAATAATATATGGTTTAAAAGTATTACTTTTGAAATAATTTACAATCAAGTTACTGCTTTATTATATATATATAAATATATATATATATATATATATATATATATATATATATATATATATATATATATATATATATATATATATATATATATATATATATATATAGATACATATATATATATATATATATATATATATATATATATATATATATATATATATATATATATATATATATATATATATATATATATATATATATATATATATATATATATATATATATATATATATGTATATATATATATATATATATATATATATATATACATATATATATTTATATATATATATATATATATATATATATATATATATATATATATATATATATATATATATATATATATATATATATATATATATATATATATATATATATATATATATACCCTTATAGTGTAGTCGAAAGAGCGTTTTAATGTAAAAAAAGTCTCTTACGACTACAATTTCAATTACCTCGTCTCTTATGCTGTTTTTGATTGTCATCGAAATGTCAAAGCAATTAATTTATGCGGAAGTACATTAAAATTAATTGTTTTTTAAAAAATTTTTAAAAAACCGCAATTATAACGACTAGAAAGTTTTTTTTAATTAGTAGTGTTTTTGTTATTGATTTAATAAAAAACATTTTTAAAACATGCGTAAATGTTGCTACATCGACTATCTTATAGCCTGACTCGCAACGGAGTGCTGCTACATCGACTGACAAATAGCCTGACTCGCAACAGAGTGCTGCTACATCGACTGACAAATAGCCTGACTCGCAAGGGAGTGCTGCTACATCGACTGACAAATAGCCTGACTCGCAAGAGAGTGCTGCTACATCGACTGAGGGTTTGGTTTGGCCAGGCAGTCTATCAATTAAAAAAAAATTTTATTTTTTAAAACTTTTTCTGGTCTGGTTTATTAACGCGCTCTTTAAAACTACAGTTTATGGGAAACTTTTTTTGATGCTACGCAAGAGACATGCAAGAGTATATATATATCAATATATATTTATTTATATATCAATATATATTTATTTATATATCAATATATATTTATTTATATATTTGTATATATCAATATATTTCTACAATCCTTATCTTTTTTTTTCCTGTAACTTCCAACACTAGTTAGTGGTTGCTTGCAGCCTTGTTGGAAGCAACGATAAAAAAAAAAAAAAAAAAAAAAAAAGAGAAGTTATAAAATTAATGATATCAAGATATTTTGGCCAGATTATAAAACCCTCATCAATATATCTAAAATAAAGTTTTTTATATCATCTACTTCACGGTTTGAAAAATACTGAGGTAAAATTACTGGGAAAAGCTTATTCTCTTCTAGAAACCCAATAGTAAGATAAGCATTATCTGGCATGAAATCTGTACCCATGGTTTTACCAGTTGTTTGGTAAAATAATTGTTTATCGAATATAAAATTATTGTTATTTAAAATAAAAGATGCTGACTCAATTATGAATTCAGGTCGAAATCTTTTATCTATCAATTCTTTATATTTAAATATCCAGAAATTTAGGGCTTCTAAACCAAGATAATTTGGGATGCTTGTGTAAAGATTGACTATGTCGCATGTCATTCTACAGCCTTGTTGGAAGCGAAGATAATTAAAAAATTGTTCATTTCACTTTTTCAGAATATTTTTCATTTAGCGCGTTTTTAAAACATTTTTTGAATTAGCCGCAGTCAAACCGTCATAGCAAAATGTAATTTTCTTGGTTATATAAAGACGTGAAATCGCACGCCTTCCTGTAAAAGCCTGAGCCTACAGTAAGATATTGGATCAAATTTCAAAATTTCAGACAAATTAAAGTGTTGCAAGTTTTCAAACCATAGCCAATAGTAAGGGTGTAGTTGCCATAAGTAGTGCTTTGTATCCACATTTCTTTTTCAATGGTTCTGAAAATCTTGAAGATTTTGTTTGCTTATCACACATTATCTTGAATATACTTTAATGTAATAACATCAAAATTGAATTTCTTACAGAAATTATTTTTTTAAAACAAGTAATAAGGTCTTATTTGAAGTTATTTAATTAGTTTTTAAAGTGCGAATTTATTTTATTATCTTGTTTAACAAAATATTATTTCTTCACTGCAATTTTATTTCAAAAACAAGATATTTAATTTATTTAAGAAATAAAATTCCTAAACTATCCTCTAACGATTTACAAATTGGTTTTAAGTTATAATTAGTCGTAAACAAATTTGAAAGGTTTTACATGCTTTGAAATGTCATATCCGAAATGTCTAAGGGAGTCTCATTTGTAATTATTTTTCAAACAATGATCTAGAGTATCTCAAAATTTCTAGAGACATGGGGAGTATTTGTTTTAGGACCTATTGGATAGTCTTTATCCACAAAATACTGCTGTCAGAAGGATTTCAGCTTCGATTCTATCTGTACTTACATCTTTACGGACTTGCCCTTGAGTTGATTACTTTTACTATTTCTATGTAGTGTTCACTGTCAAAAGATGCAAATGCCAACACCATGCTTAGTGGATTTAAATACCTTGAATGGTTTAGTATTATAATAATACTACCTCTGCAGAAACTTGTATTGAATATAATAGAACATCTTTCAATGGTCTTGTTGATCTTAATGCAAATTAAAAAACATAGATAAAAGAAGATTTAAAATGACTCTGCTAAAATATTCTTATAGTTATCTAGTTTTGACAAGATATAGTCAAAGTGCTGATTTTATTAATTTTCTATAAATTAGTCCAATCTAATTAAAAACTTTTGCATTTAAATCAGCACTCTTTTTTATTTATTTTTATTTATTTTGCAACAACCGTATCTTTTAAAAAGAATTGCAGTATATTATGCAATTAATTTTTATAAAAAAAACTGTTTTTTTTTTATTATAGTTATAATTATAATAATACTTTTAAAAGAAAAAGTTATATTTTTGCATAAGCAGTTAATTGCTCCTATAAACGGGTTTAGGATAGTGTTGGCAAGAGCTAATGCTCTTGCTTTCCGCCAAGGCCTGCCATTGTTTTTAAACGATTTAATTATTTAATTGTAGTTAAATGAAATATATTTTTCTTTATTTATAAGACTAAAGTTTCAAAACTTAGTTTTTCTGTGAAAGCTGCAGAATCAGATAATTTCAAAAAAAAAACAACAAAAAACATGATGCTCAGAAGTGAGAAATGTAGTTACTCATTCAAGGTTTTTAACTTTCTTTTCATAATATACCTAGATTTATAATAATATGCCTGACTATTTTAGTCAGGGATTCAAGCTTTTTAACCATTTTATAATTAGAACCTGCCTGGTATTTTGGAAAAGCAATTTAAATTTTATGCAGAAAAATCTTTTTGGGAAAAACCTTGCTTGTGAAATAATTCACTTTTTACCTAATAGTTTAATTTTTTCGAAAAAATATACACAACAAACTACAAGTCCACAATCTCTTTGTTTCAAAAAATTTTCAATGAAAATAGTTATATTATATATATATATATATATATATATATATATATATATATATATATATATATATATATATATATATATATATATATATATATATATATAGATATATATATATATATATATATATATATATATATATATATATATATATATATATATATATATATATATATATATATATATATATATATATATATATATATATATATATATATATATTATATATATATATATATATATATATATATATATATATATATATATATATATATATATATATATATATATATTATTATTATTATATTATTTTCATATAAACATCAATAAATACCATTTTCTCTCAATACTTAATTTATTTTTTATTTTTGAAAGAAAATTTTGCTGAGTTGTTGTGACCAGCCTCTTCAGCTTAAAAGATTTTTGTTAACAGTAGTTATTTTAGCTTAGTTTTTTAGGGTGGTAGTTATTTTAGCTATGAAAAATCAAATCAAAAAGAAAAAGATTAATGTTCAAAGAAAATAAAAGGACCTTTTAATGTAAAATTTGTTTATGACTTTTTAGTCATAAACAAATTTTACATTATGACAGTTAGTATTACTTTAAAATTCACAATAGAACTATAAACAATTTTTAAATGTTTCGTAAATACATTTAAATGTTTAAATGTAATGATATGCAAGAAAACACGAAAACGATTGCTTTTTATTAGTAAAATATGTTTTTTTTTTTTTTAAATGAAAGAAAATTTTATTGTCAAACAATTGAGTTGCTTATTTTGCAATCATTATTTGACATTGTGAGCGAGTGTTAATATATAATAATGTCCCGAAGGAACTGTTTTCGTAACAATGACAAAGTTTCAAAAACAAAAAAACAAAACTAACAAAATAAAAAGAGATTATAATAGAAAAAAATTAAAACAAATTAATAATTTAAATATTTTGTGTACTGGTTTTATTTTTGTTTCTTTAGAGTTTTATTCAGCAACAAAATTAAATAAGGCGAACCAAAAAAAAAAAAAAAAACAGTTTGAAGTGTACAATAAAAAGAATGATTTTCCTTTTCTTAATTTTTTTTTTAAGAGGATAGCAAAAAAACAAATTGCAATGTGTTTGTAAAATTTATTTGTATAATTTTAATGTAAGAACAAGGGTTGAATTAAGCGAATGCAAAACGCAAAATCTGGAAAAATATCAAGTAATCAAAATTTTAGTTTATACAAAAACGTGTTCCTTGTTTTTAAGGAGAGAATCAACTTAAATTTGTTAGCGAAAAAAGTAACAACACTCCAGTCACTAATTGCATTACAAAAGTAATAACAATATAATAGTGTTATTACTTTTATAACACACTTATAACCTTTAAAATTCATTCTTTGTTCAAGCAACATTAGTATTCCCAAATTTTAATTGAAGTAGAAAAACATCTAGTAGAATAAAGTGGATGTTCAAATAATATTAAAACTAAAGAAACTTATAAAAACGTGACAAACAACTTTATAAAAACGTATCGTGTTAAAAGTTTAGCATTATGAAAAAGGTTACTAGTGGTCCATAAAAAAATTAACGAATAAAAAATTTTTATTGGTTGATTTTAAAATTAACGCGCGTTTTTACGTAATGTTTTCCATAATGCTATACTTTTTATAAAGTACTTTTTATAACGTTGTTTAAGTAATATGTGAAAGTTCCTGAAACTTTTAATAATATTTGAATATCCGCTTTATTTTTTCTAGATGCTTTTCTACTTTAATAAATGTTTAGAAATAATAATGTTGTTTGAACAAAGAATGAACTTTAAAAGTAATAAGTGCTTTATAAATGTAATAACACTATTACAAGCCTTCCCAGAAAAGGCGTGCGGTTTTTTTTCTCGTACGACCACGAAAACATTTTTAAAGTTAGAGAATGTGATCACGGCTATTTGCGCAAGCTATATTATATGCGTTACTGAAAAATTGTTTTAAATTTAATAACTACATAAGAATGTAAAGTAAACTTATAGAAAACAATAATAATAATTTAAACAATTTGTGTGTTGTTTTTATTTTTGTTTTTCTTAATGGTTATTATTATCGGCAACAAATTTCATTCAAAAGTCAAGAGATAAGAGTTAAAAACTATGACTTTGCCATATTTTATGTATTTTTTTGTTTAGAGAAGAAAGAGAAAATATGTATCATCATCTGTTTGTAAAATATATTTGTATAATTATAATGTAACAAGTATATATCAAGAGTTAAATTATACGATCGTGTTTGCAAACTCCTGTAAAATATTAGGTCTTTAAAATTTTAGTTCATGCAAAGCTGTGAACGTTGTTTACAAGGAGCAAATTATTAAAAGTTTGCTAGCGAAAAAATTACAAAATACAAAACAAAAACAATAAACTTACGACTACAAAAGTAATAACACTTTAGTCACTAACTGCATTATAAAAGTAATAAAACTATAATAGTGTTATTACATTTATAAAGCACTTATTACTTTTAAAGTTCTTTTTTTTTAATTTTTTGTTCAAACAACATTATTAATTTTAAACATTTATTGGGGTGGAAAAGCATCTAGAAAAAATAAAGCGGATATTCAAATATTATTAAAAATTTCAAGAACTTTCACATATCGCTTAAACAACGTTTTTTTTTTTGTTTTTTTTTTTGTTTTTTTTTATAAAAGTTAGCAAACAACGTTGCTTTATAAAAAGTATAGCATTATTAAAAACATTACATAAAAACGCGCACTAATTTTAAAATTTGGGAATACTAAAGTTACTTAAACAAAGAATGAATTTATAAGTTATAAGTGTGTTATAAAAGTAATAACACTATTATAGTGTTAATACTTTTGTAATGCAGTTAGTGACTAGAGTGTTATTGCTTTTGTAATCGTAAGTTTTTTGTTTAAAAAATTACGTGATAATAAGATTTTTTCAAAAAAAAAAATACAAATTTAAGTCAATCTAAAAAAACATACAATAATAAGTTGAAATTGTTTCATTAAAAACAAAAATCTGTGATAAAATAAAAATAAAAGAAACTACAACTTCACTAGACCAATGTTAAATAAACTGAATAACATGACAAAGATTTCGATAGCACAACTGTTTTGTAAATTCGAAAAAATCATATTTTAAAAATTTGAATAAAAACTGTCCAACCTAAGCAAGTTTTAATCAGAAATTTTCTCCGTGACTTTTTAAAATATTAAATTAAGCCCTGATGTATGTACTAAAGCCCCCGGCAGCAGGCTATTTCAGTATGACGTTATGCTGCTCACCTAAATCAACAGTATAAGATATATGCGCAAAATATACTTAATGATGGAACCATATACTTGGTCATGATGCAGGAGAAGTGTAAACAAATTTAAAAAATTGAATTTTTTTATTTTTTTGCCTTTTTTCATAGTTTTTGATAACTTGAAAAAAACAACATTCAATATCCTCATTTACAAGGTGTTTTTGCTTAGATCAGGGTGTGATTTTTCTTTTACTTAAATATTAATTTCTGTTTATGATATTTGGGGTTTCAGTAATTTTTTCTTTTTTTATTAAAATAAATTATTAAATTAAAGACCCCTAAATAAGTAAACTTGAAAAAATTGAAAGAAAAAAATCAAATTGACAGCCTCTCAGATTATAATTAAAAGGTAGTGAAGGGACATCATTGACCTGCCCAAAGCATTAATCCAACTGAAAGCAGATAAAAGGTTGTTGCTGTAGTTAATGGTAGTATTTCAAAACAAATGATCTGTATGATTCAGTTTGTATTCAATTCTAATGTAGCAATTGTAAACATGAAGTGAATGCCATAGATACACAAGATGGAAATGTGAGGAAAGGGACACCAACATACATTGACCAATTGAATGTGAAAGAGTTAGATAAAAGCTGATGTGGTTGATAAGAAATCAAATGGGCAAAAATTAAATGTTTGATTCTTTTCATGGAGGATGGGAAAAGTAAGGGAAAAAAGCCTTGTTTTCAAACTGTTGGAGGGTTCAAAGGCTGCGCCGAGACCTGGCTGTACTCATTTTCATATGGTTGAATTTAATTCATTTTGTCTGGTATTAATATGGCTTTTACATAGGCGCTCAACAAACTATTATTGTTTTCAGGCTCTGTAACAGTCACTAGCTTTCTGATGCTTATACAAAAGTGCTGTTGCTGAAATTAAAAGGGTCAAGTTAACTATTAACACTACAAATAGTATACATATTTTAGGAGAATGTTGACAAATACAGCTTGAAGGTTGACATGAAGCTATTATCATGAAAAAAAACTAGCTGATTTGTTAGTCATAGTATCAATTTAGCTGATCACTATCCATCAATAGTACAGTCTAGGTGATGGGTTAACAATAGTTGCCATATATGCTGTGATAAATATAAATTCAATTTGGAAAATACAAAAGTAGACTGGGCATAATTTGGGAAATACATAAGCAAATACTATACAAGTGATTGTGTAGACTCAACCATTTGTTTAGTATTTGCTTTCAGATTTCACTGTCTTTCAGGTTTTGCTGTTGTTCTGGATTTCACTGTCAATTATGCCATGGTTGACAGTGAAATCCAGAACACTATCGTGATCAAAGCAAATATGAATAATAAATACTTCTCAAACTTCTGATCATTATTGTTATTGATTGTGATTCTAGAGGATTAAGGAGGTGTGTAATCGTTTTGCACTTAAAAAATTTTTTCAAAATTGAAATTGCTAGTAGTTTTAATTACGTTATTCTTGTATATAAATGTTTTTAATAAAATCGCCTCTTCAAATGATTAAAAAAAGCAAACAAAAGACTGTTATGTTATATATATATGATTGTTTTTAGAAATAACAAATAATTTTTTTTTATTTGAATACCATATTTTAGGTCAGTTTGTCATTTTGTTTTAGCAGTATTGTTTAAAGGAATTTTATTTGGTTAGAAATTAATTTTAATTGCAATGCAGTAATTCAAAGTATTCTATTTATGCAATTCAATTTGAGTATTATAAATATCAAAGCTGAGTTTAGTAACATATCTATGTGTTATACTTTGACATTACACTGTATAATATTGTTACAAGGCCTAAATTTGTTTTTCCTCGCTTTTAGATCGCTTACTTTAAATTTCTTTTTGAGAATTTTTATTATTTAATGTTAAAATATATGCTTATAAATGCATACACTTCAAATTATCTGATAACAAAAAATTTAAATCAGTAATTTATATGTTGCTTTCCAAACTAAGTTTCACATAGCCTTTCAAATAAAGAAAAAAGGGCTTTCTATAAGTTTTTGTGTTTTATTAATTTAGTGTTTTATTTTTTGGTTTACTTTATTCTTAATTATTAATTAATAGCTTATTAATAAACGCAAAAAAGAAATAGAAGATGGAATAGCAGCTGATCAAAAAGATTTTTTAACAGTTGTTTTAAAAGATCAACAAAAAGAAGGCAGCAAGATGACAAATGACTTGATTAAAGATAATCTGATGACGCTTTTAATTGCTGGTCACGAAACAACTTCTACTGCAATGCAATGGTGTTTATACATGCTTGGCACAGTAAAAATATTTTTAATTTTATGTATTTTTTATTTTAAACTTTTAAAATTATTTTTATTCTATTTTTTATTATATTATAATAGTGTTTTTTATTACCCAAAAAAGTTTTGATTATTGTTTTTTTCAAAAAAACTGAAAGTTTAACTAAAACTTGTAAAATTTAAATATTACAATAAAATAGTTTTAAAAGACAGTGCATGCCATAATTTTTTATTTATTATTATTATTTTTTAATTATTTACCTTGCCAAGGCCAAGAAAGCTACTACAGCTTGGAGGCTACTTTTGGGGTTACAACTCTCTTTCAACTCTATAACTTTGAAACACGAACCTCAACAAACAAGGCCACTCCTCCGAAAAACAACTTGAATATCCATTTGTCTTAAACATCATTAAAGCAACAAAGCATCAAATCAACTAGATTATTAAAAATATTCTGAGAAATAAAATACTGTAATTTATCAAAGCAAATAACAAAGACCATTGTATTTGTTATTTGATTTTTTATCAATTAATTGTTAGCCAATTACTCCCACAAATTTTTAAATAGGATTGAGATCTAGGCTTTGTGGAGATCATTTAAGACCTTTGATAATGACAATTATTGTAGTAACTAAAATACTTTCGAAACATGTATTATTACATATTTAAAAGTAAGTGGATGATATTTTGGATTGATTCTGCCTCATATTGGATGCTGACATCCCCAAATCTGTCACTACTGAATAGATTAAACTTTGATTCATGAGAGATAAAGACTAATCAATAATTAAATGTCTAACTAATATGTTTTTTTGCAAATTTTATTTTGGCTTTTATATTTCTTGCAGATATTAGCGGTTTCTTGACTGGACAGTGGGTCCATATCTTTTTATATTAATGCAGAATTTAATGCTGTTAGAAGTAGTGCCCTCTCAAGCCTGTTTGGCACATATCAGTTGTCAGCCAAATGCAACAGAGGTTATGGCGGAAAAGTGTATGCAACTTTTAATTATGTAATGTTAAAAAACATAAATAGTAAAAAAAAATAGTTTTACTATTTATTTGAAGTTTGCACATTGCAGCAACATTTTTTTTTTGATTTATAGCATTTATTTGTTGTTTTATAATTATTTTTGTTTTTAAACTAGTGCTAAAGCGTTTATCAAACAATACGTCTTAGAGGGCCAAAGTGGTTAGATTGCCAAAGTGGTTAGATTGCAGCAATTTGAAGTGAATCGCCATGGTTTAAATCCTTATGCTTGCAAATTTTTATTTTTATCTTTTATAGAATTTTTAAAACACAAAATAAATCATTTTTTAAAGTTCTACATATATTATATACATGACATATTAGGGAAAGTCAGGTAGCCCCAGACAACTGGTAGCCCCGGAAACTTAAAACTAAAGATGCTATTTGGTTTTGAGTACCATAAAAACGTTCATTTAGTGGTTTTAAGGAAAAAGCAAAAAATCTGCTTAAATATTCTAAAGCGATGAGATGATAGTGCAAGATATTGTTTTCTACCATCAGAATACAGTGTATTGTCAGTTTTGATTTACTTATAATCATACCAATTTTTTTTGCATACATATATATATATATATATATATATATATATATATATATATATATATATACATATATTTAGTTATATATATATATATAATATATATATATATATATATATATATATATATATATATATATATATATATATATATATATATATATATATATATATATATATATATATATATATATATATATATATATATATATATATATATATATATATATATATATATATATATATATATATATATATATATATATATATATATATATATATATATATATATATATATATATATATATATATATATATATATATATATATATATATATATATATATATATATATATATATATATATATATATATATATATATGCATATGTATATATATCAGGGTTGGCATTAAAAAACCCGCCTAAAAAAACCCAATAAAACCCAGGCAATCTGGTTTTTTTTGAAATATATCTAAAAACTTATGAATATTTAAATCATTATTTGGTACATCATCACAATTTTTATTTAAATATTTTGACAAATTGAGATTTTCTCTTTCTGTATGCTTGTGTAAAAAAAGTTAAACTTTTTTTAGCAATGTTTTACTCGTTCTATCTTGTTGCTAATCAAAGCATGACAATAGTCACAAGAAACCTTTGTACGCTTTCAGTATTGCTACAACAAACATGGTAAAATGTTTTTTGGCTACAGCAAGTATGATAGAATATATCTCATGCTTTTAGAACACAGATTACCATCTTTTCATACAATTATCTTGAACTACAGACATGCTTTTTGTAAACAGTTGATGGTTTGTTCCTTAGTGAATAATTCCATGCGTATACTTAATCAAAGTTTAAAATAATACTTTTTTTGTAACAACTATGGACCTGGCACATAAATTGTATCTGCCTGTTGTCAGAAATATATTTATAATAATAATAATAATAATAGAAATAATAATAATAGTAATAATAATAATAATAATAATAATAATTTTACCACATTCCGGTGGTTGTGTTGCCTTTATCAAATTAGATTTTAGTGGCTTGTAGTATCTAGCCTTACATTCACAGCATAATTTGCACTGATTAGTTATTAGTTTAACATCGTAAATTGAGAAAGGTAAGTTATGATTTTTAATAAAAACATAAAATCTAATACCTCCAGGATGACAGAGTGATTGATGAAGCTGAATTAAATTGTCACTGTTTATTGCTGAGCTATGTATTCAGCTGAAAATGTGTCAGCCGGATTATTTAGTTTCCCTTCCCTGTAATTAATTCCCAATGTCATAATTAAAGCAAGGTTTTTTCATGGATCAATTTTTCATTGATAATTTTTATCTTTTTTATTCTTTGATTTATGTTGCTATTTGAAGATATAGGACACAGGTTGCTGATCGGTAATAAGTCTAAAATGGCGCCTTGTAAAGTAGTGTTTCTAATATCTGACTGCTTCTGTTATTTCATAAACTTCTTTCTTAATAAAAGGGATGTTTAAGCTCAGATTATTCAAGTAATCTTAAAAAGAAAGCAGCAGGGCGACCATTTTGATTAAGAACTGCAGCTATAGCAATGTAGATGCATCGTTTTCTACCTCAAATGAAACTTTTTTGTCCACATAATCTGTCACAGTATTTTGCAATGTCTTTTTTAAGTTGATTAAAATCATTTACACACTGATAATCTAATGGGTACTTGGTGTTTTAGGTACGAGAAGCTATCTTGTCAGGTGGGGGGTAGTTCATGCGGAGCAAGCTCCCTGCGATAGCTGCAGCAGGGGGTGCGCTAGTGCTGCACCTGGGTCTGGGGGGGTGACAATCTTTTTATTTTATAAAAAGCTACTATTATTGAATCAGCTATCAATAATCCAATAGCTGATTCAATAGCATCAATAGTTATTATATATATTGCTGTTATTTGTCCTTCTAAAAAGAAATTAATCAACGAAGTTAACATAAAATTTATTGAAATTGATAATAATAAATTTGCTATACTAACTAAAATTAATATTGTATTACTTCTGTTTATAATTATTCCTTTAATACTAACACAAAACATAATTATTACTAATAAATTAAAATCAAATAACATTATTCTCATTCTAACCCACCTCCTAATCATTTATAAACTAATCTTATAACTAATATAATTATAAATATATATATATATATATATATAATAGATTGTGAATAATAGTTTATTAAATTTAAAGTTACTGATCATGGAAATAAATAAATTATTTATAAGTCGAATACTAAAAATGAAATAGCAATTAAAAAAAACTTTTATAGAAAATGGTTGACCAGTTGAATGAAAAGGATTGAATCCACATTCGTAGATAGAAACTTTTTCTTTATCAGGTGATTTAAAAGAAAGAAGGATTAAAAAACACAAAATTACTTAAAATAATTAAATTTATAGGAATTATATTATTTATAGTAATTTGAATTTAAGAGTTTTATTTTATTTGGATTATATCTAACATCATTGTTACAAATAAAAATAATATTACTATAGCTCCTACATATATTATTATTATTAGTAATAATGACAAAAATTCTAAATTTTGATTAATCAATAAATCAAAAGAAAAAAAAAATACAGTTACTAATCAAAAAACAGAATGAATGGGGTTTAAAGAATTAATACACATTAAACACCCTAGAATTATTAAAATTAAAAAAAAAAGAAAGTTCATTCATGATTGGATTATAAATCACAGGAAAAAGTTCCCTTTCCCCCACTATGTTACAACTTACTCTATCTATGATGATCAAGGTGATGGGCTATTTGTATTAATATTTGCACTTATTCATTAAAACCTTATATTTTTAGTTACTATTAAATTCTCTTTAAAATCAGTTTACATAGGTTATCCAAATATAAATTTATATTATAATATTTATTGTAGTACTTAATTTCCCTTTTCATAAAGGCCATAATATTTGACTTTATTTTTTTAAGAATTATGCTTTAACTATAAGTTTATGCTGAAGACAACCATGCAACACTTGTATTTTCAAAAAAAAGTAAGGTATTTTGCGGATTATAGAATTAAATTACTTACTCATCTAATTAGAAAAATAAACAACTAAAATATTTGATTTTCACCTGTTTAGGTATACTGTTCAGATTAATTATTAACAAAAAGATTCCTTGGGTATCTAATCCTGTTTAATTATCATTTATTCAAGTTTCCAGTTATTTTGCAATGTTTTTGAAATTTTTAATTATTGTATCATTTACCAAATCGATTATCTTAATTTTACAATTTTTATTCTATACACATTTAACCTATTTTTTTATAAAAATTTATTTCTTAAGTATCACCGTGTCTGCAGGCACTTAATTAGAAAAAAGTTATGATTACTTTATATCTAAATTACTTTAATTGTATAAATTTCTTTATTGCTGTTAAATTTTCTTTGTTTCAGTAAAAACATGG